ACTACTACTAATAATAATAATAATACAACTGGCACTGTTTTCAGCCTAAAATAACAATATTCTCTTAATTGCCAACAGAATCTGGACGTTACTTATTTTAGGCTCGTCGTAACCACAACACCAACACAAAAAATCATTCAGGAACACAATTAATTAATCACATACACCAATAAAAACACACACACACAAAAAAAACAGCAGGGGTTTCTAATACAATCAGCCAAAATAGATGAATAAGCTACATAAGCGGTGTAGCACATAAGTAGCTAGCCCTGCCCCGTGCCAACACACACACACCAGGAGGCAGTAACTTAGGGCCAATTATGACAGCAAGAGCCTATTCTCTTTTTTTATCGTCTTGGATTCTTCTTACGATACATCTAACGATAACTAGTCAGCTATTGTTTTTTTTCCTTCTTCTTTTCCTGTTTGAGTTGTACTGTTCAATGCTCCCGGACAGACAGACAGACAGACAGAGGATGGAAGACAGAAACAAATAAGCAGGTGAGGTCAGTGAAGAACAGTTCCCTTCTAGTTTATCTCACCTGATGATTAACCACCCTAACCTAACCTAACCTAACCTAACCTAACCTAACCACCCCTCCTCCTCCCCCAACCAGTGAAGCCTAAATAAGGTTCCAGGGCCCCCAGCTTGACTCACCCAGGGCACGACACGGCCACTAAATCCGGGCGGAGGAGCTTCAGGTAGGTTCCTCCCCTCCCCCCTCCCTCCCTCTTATCCTCCGACGCCGCCCACCTCCACCGGAAGAAGGAGGAGGAGGAGGAGGAGGAGTTCAAGGTGGCAGCGGAGGGCACTTGGTCACAGATTAAGATGGCGACTTTATGCACATGGTGTCGTCACTCTCAAGGGAAAAGGAATTTTACCGCCAGCGAGAATTAAATAAAATCTTGCGAAAACTTGTGTTAATTTTTTTTTAGAATGTTTATGTTTGAAGCTTTATGTATAAGTGTTTTAAATGAGTAGAAGAGGATTTGATTGTCTTTTGTTTTTCATATGGTGTTCAATCGTCTTTTTTTCATTATATGGTGTTTGATCGTCTTTTGTCTTGTGGAGTTTACGTGGTGTTTGTCTTTTCTTTTCCATATGGTGTACGATTGTCTTTTGTCTTGTGGTGTGTATGTGGTGTTTGATCGTCTTTTGTTTTCCATATGGCTGTCCAATCGTCTATTATCACGCGGTATATAAACACCAGGAGACGCTTCCAAGCCCCGAAACACTTCAAAGTTATTTATGAATGCAAATTTATAAACGAAGAACAGGTTTTGAATGTTTATATAAGGACAGATGAAACTCCTCTTACAAATACTAATATGTTTATAAGATTAACAAGATACCTGGAACTTTACAGGTTAACTATTAATCAATTTATGTGTTAAGTCTAAGACGTCAACCCAAAATTATATGTTATGGGACGATTAAATACCGTATTAGTTTTTGGTCAATCTCACGAGTACAAGATATGAGTCCTGCGAGATAATGCCTTGAGTACGATAATTTTGCTGCTTGAGTACGACACGGTAGTCTTTTCTTGTGTGTGTGTGTGAGAGAGAGAGAGAGAGAGAGAGAGAGAGAGAGAGAGAGAGAGAGAGAGAGGACAATAAGGTAAGTGATAAGAAGAAGAAGAAGAACAGAGAGAGGAGAGAGGGGGGGGGGGTGATTACGAAACTATGAATCCAATTAACCTGCACCAGCCAACACCTCCTCATTTATAACACCTGAGAGAGAGATGAATCACAGGGTTAAGATTACACACCTGTTGACGACTAATTACGGTAGTTTAAGTTAAAATGACGTAGATGAAAGATGAGAACTACACACAAATACTATACAATTATATCAGTAATCGCTTCCGTTTACAAAGATATAATGTAATCGTGAAAAATGACATTATAAATCATTGTAATGCTATGAGGTAAGAGTTACGGATCACCTAAAGATTAGCCACCCTAGTTTATTTCAACCTGATGTGGATGTATGTGTATGTGTGTATGTACGTGTATGTACGTGTATGTATGTATGTATGTACGTGTATGAGTGTATGTGCAAAGTATGTATGTATGTCCGTATGTTTGTTTACACTCCTCTCCTCCTGACCCTCCTCCTCTCCTCCTCCTGACCCTCCTCCTCCTCCCCCTACACTGTCCTGTTGGTCAGCTCCCCCCCCCAGAGGTGAGCGGAAGTGTACCCGAGATAAGATCAGCCGCGGCAGGAGGGATATGACCGCCGGCGACCCCACCCCACGCCCGGGCAGTCACGGGTTATAGGTGACCGACCGCCCACCTCTCCCGCCCATTCACCCGCACGCCCACAAGCCCACCAATCCACTCATCCGCCCACACAACCCGTCTCTCTTTGTCACGGATAATAATATGTACAAGCAGTGAGTAAGAATCTTTGGACAAGAAAACTACACTTTTGAAACTTTACCGAGACTGTAAAACACACGTTCTCTGTCTGTCTGTCTGTCTGTATGTCTGTCTGTCTGTCTGTCTGTCCAGGGGCGGATCCAGGAACATTCGAGAAGTTGTGGGTGGGGGAGCTATGTGCACTTGATATTAGGAGATAGTTCTGAGATCAACAGTAATTAGCTTTTTCTATACAAAACTACCCGAGTACAATACTGCTGTTTGTCTATTACGTAACGCTGACGTATTCACTACAACGATATCTTCATGGCGGAGCTGACATCCTCATGGGCCAGAACTAAGTAAGAACAGAAGATTATAACCAGGACGTCGTCAGGGGTCAGCACCAGCATCACCCTGACCCCACGCCCTACCAGGTCATCCACCTCTCTCTCTCTCTCTCTCTCTCTCTCTCTCTCTCTCTCTCTCTCTCTCTCTCTCCGACCTAACCCAGCGAGCGTGTACTACAACAAGGTCATCATTACCTCTTAAAGATGGTCATAGCTGCCAGAGATAACGACTCACGCTGAGGAGGAGTCCATGGAGTACTCAGCCGTCGATCGGTACTCAATATAAGAGTCCTTGAGAGCCATAACACAGGGGGCTCTATTATACTCTGGACTCGGGGCTTTGGGAGGGCGACGACTTATGGAGAAGATTGTGGACTTTTAAGCCTTAATCTTCAGCGTAAACAAAAGAGGATCTCCATCAGCTTCCAGGAGAACCCCAGGAGATCGCCAAAGGAGGAGAACGCTAGGAGATCACCCCTCAACAGTCCAAGAATTCCATGAAAGGGACTGAGGGCTCAAAATTTCAGTGGGTTGTGGGGAACTGTGGGTAGTGAGGCCCTCTTGTTCTAACTCCCACGACAGTCAGTCAGCCAAGCCCGTGTCACTGTGCTTGCTGGACCGAGAAGGTAATTTGTGTTCGTGTTGCTTGCTGCTTGCACCACTGAGGGGAGGGGAGTGGGGAAGAGGGGGGGGGAAGGGGAGGGGGGGAAGAGGGGCGATGGGGGGGGGCAGGGAAGGAGGGGGGGGGGCGGGAGGGGGGAGAGAGAAAGGAAGAGGGAACGTAAGAGGAGGAGGCGAAGATGGAAGACTTATGTGGCAAGAAGGGCACATAAAGAGTAGGGAGGATATAAGGGGGGTGGAGATAAGAAGGAGAGGAAGGAAAGACGGGAGGAAGAAGTAAATAAAGAGAAATTGTAAAACGAGAAGAGAATCTGACTACAAAGCCTCCCTGCTAGACTTCATTATTTCACCTTTCCATTGTTAGAGCCTCTGGGCACTTTATTCGTTCTAAATCGACTGCCGAGCTCAGGGCTTCACACACAGGTCGAGCAGGAAGAAGCTAGGTGGAGTTAAAAAAGGATATTTCAGGGGCTTCAAAACAGGCTACCAGTTGGGGGGGGTAAATTTAACCAGCACCGAACCCCGAAGATGACACGGTGACCTGAGCTTAATGACACACTGGAGGCTTCACACACACACACACACACACACACACACACACACACACATGTTGGTGAGATTAAAGAAGAAAGAAACCTGGTAGAAAGAGAGAGAGAGAGAGGAGGAGAGAGAGAGAGACACACACACACACACATACACACACACATACACACACACACACACACACACACACACACACACACACACACACACACACACACACACACACACAGGTACAAACTATTAATTACATTGTCGACCTTGCACATACACAGAGACGGGTTCATGGCGGTCCACTTCCCCAGCAACACCCACCACAGCATACTGATCGCCCTTGACTAAGATGGAGACCTCTACTGAACACAGGAGTTACGAGTCCCGATGTGTCTTCTTGTCATCACGGTATGGGGGTGAGGGGTTGCGATGGGGTGGGTGGGGTAGCTTGTGTTGGGGGTTCTAGTGATGGGGGAAGGGGACTGGCTTGAGGGTTCTAGTGATGGGGGAAGGGCACTGGCTTGGGGGTCCTTGGAGGTTGATAGTGGCTTGGGGAATTCACTAAGGCCATGTATTTATTGTTCGAAAAATTCTTTGTGTTGGCTTGGGGTAGCTAGAGGCCAGGGGTGGCTTTCAGGGTAGAGGGTGTTCACTATGGGCTTGGCTTTGGTAATTCTGGGTTGGGATTGGCTAATTTTAACTTGGGGTGGTTTAATTCCGACTAGGGGTGGGCAATGGTGGCTTAAAGGGTTCCTAAATACGGTAGAAGTGGCTTGAAGAGAGGAAATTCTTTGTGGTGGTATGGCATGCACGTGGAAGAGCTACTTGAACTAATAAAATGGTTATCCATTACACATCACACCATCGTTTTCTCTCATACCGAACCTAGTACGTTTTCTCTTATGCGATAGAGGGATAACTACGGAAATCCTTCAACGCGTGTTGTAGTTGCATATTTCTTATTTATACAGCAATACCGTCAATACGTGATAGATTTTCATATAAATTACAATAAACAATGAGTCTAAAACACTCCCTGAAATACAACACCGACATAATATGGAGAACATTTTGTATCAGAAAAGAAAAACATAAAATATACTTTGCTCAGTTGTGTCGTGTACTTACCTGTCTGAAGCATCTCATATTCCTGGAGCAGAGTCTGGCGAGTCTTGTCTGTGAGGTGCAGAGAGCCGCTGACAGTCTCTGCTGCTGGAGGGGGTCATGAACCAATTCCAGCTGCTGAGAGAGGCTGTCGAACGTCTGCTGCTCCACGGCCATAGCGTCCTGTAACGTCTGTACCAGTTCCACCAGCCCCTGTAACGTCAAAGGCCATGTTATTGTTTTGTTTATACTACACTAATTAGCGTTCACAGATAAATTAATTAATTACATAAATTCAATTGCAAGTATCCTAATAATAATAATAATAATAATAATAATAATAATAATAATAATAATAACAACAGCTGAGTTACAAGACCTAGGCATAATCTATTAATTGAGAAATATAATACTGGTTTGAGAAGAGCAATATCGACGTGAAAATCGAGGAATATTCGTTGATAATTGCGTGCTGAGGGGGAGGGAGAGACGGTGGGAGGAAGGTGAAAGAGAAATAGGGAGAAAGAGAAGAGGGGTGAATGAAGTTAAATCTTGGGATGGAGAAAGAGGGAGGGAAGGAGAGAGAGAGAGAGAGAGAGAGAGAGAGAGAGAGAGAGAGAGAGAGAGGAGCTACACAGGCAAGGAGAGATTGTGGTAAGGAGAGACGGAGGAAGGGAGGAAGGAAGGAAGGAGGGAGGAAGGTTGGGTCCAGAGGCTGGGTTACACCACACTGACCACACTCCACACCACCCTCGGCCACACCCTCCTAACACACACACACACCACAGATCCTTCTCATGTACTCTTGGTCATGTGTTTAAGTGGCTGCTCACATGGGCCCCAAGTCCTAATGAACCACGAATACTAATGGGTCTATATTTAATGGGTTCCAATCCTAATGAGTTCCTGAGCCTAATAGCCCCGGCCGACCCCCACCCCCCTCCCCCCCTCACAGCGTAAACACTCATATGAATCTTCCCCAGCTCCCAGTACCTCACCAGTATCCACCCCAGTAACTACCTATTCCCTATCCAGTATCCACCCCATTATCTCCCTTGTAACTCCCCACTCCCACCCCAATATCTCCCTAATAACTCCCCACTTCCTCCCCAGTATCCACCCTCCCCCCCCCAAACATGCGTCGGTCGTGAGTGAGTGTCACGAGGGGTGATAACATCTCACTCCCCTGATAACTGTACACCTCACACCTGGAGGAACACCTTGAGTAAGGATGTACCGTATCCTACTCGTTGTGACCCCCAAGGAGGATGTTACTACCTCCTTGAAGTGACGAGATGACAACAACAAAAACAACGATAACAAATACAACAGCAATTACAATAAATACAACAACAACTACAACAAAAATAACAACAGCAACAAGAACAACAATAAAAGAACAAAATAATAACAATAACATCACCCGTTACACTATGTTCATTAAAGATTATATTCACCATAATAACTAAAGTGACCTTAAATGTTATATGACATGAGGTGACACATCCCTCGAGTGCAGCCCACCTGACACTATGACCACCCCCCTCCAATGACACCTGTCCGTCTTTTGACACCGTGACCTCCCCCTCACTCTCTATCTCCTTTGACACCGTGACCTCCCCCTCACTCTCTCCCTCCTTTGACACCGTGACCTCCCCCTCACTCTCTCCCTCCTTTGACACCGTGACCTCCACCAGCCCTCTCTCCCTCCAATGACACCGTGACCTCCACCAGCCCTCTCTCCCTCCAATGACATCGTGACCCCAACCACCACCACCACGACTCAATCTCCTGTGACACCCTGAGTTGTGGCCGGAATCGTCAACACACACACACAAGAAGAGATCCCCACCACAACAAAACCCTCACACCCCCCCTCATCCCCCTCTTCCTCCTGTAGGTGCTGACGACGAAGGGAACCAACACCTACGTCTCCCTGGTTGGCTAGATTGAGTCACCTGGTCACACCAACGCCATGACTAAATCGACTCATTAACTATATTTTATAATACTAATGTGCTAATTGAGTCATGTTGACGGCTGGACTTGACATGTTTTTATCCTGATATTGATGTTGATAAATAAAGACGATAGTTACATAGAGAAACACGAAAAGACTTTCTTATCTATTAACTCAGTTCATAACATCACCACTCCACACCCTGTAAACTCACTCCACACCCACAAATACCTCCTCCACACCCACAAAAACTTACTCCACACCCACAAATACCCCCTCCACACCCACAAAAACTTACTCCACACCCACAAATGCCCCCTCCACACCCACAAAAACTCACTCCACACCCACAAAAACTTACTTCCACCCACAAATACCCCTCCACACCCACAAAAACTTACTCCACCCACAAAAAACTTAATACTCCACACCCACAAACACCCTCCACATCCACCCACTCCACACCTACAACACCCCCCCCCTCCACACCCACAAAAACTCACTCCACACCCACAAATACCCCCTCCACACCCACAAAAACTTACTCCACACCCACAAACACCCACAAACACACTGTAATATTAAGTGTTTGGTAAATAACACGCAGAGACAGAGAAAAAAACACACGTATCAATTATTATCTAAACCCAAAGGTCAAGGTCAGGCTAGGGCACGAACCACCTCTGACCTCTGACCTGGGGCGTTTGGACACTCACGACCCAAACATGCCCAGGTATCCCCTTACTTATCATGCACACCTGACCAGCCATACTAAACAAGTCATCAGGTTGATTATAAACAATGGCTTGGTTGATTACGACACTACCACCACCATTATGACAACCACCACCACTACTACCACGACTACTAACACCCATATTACCACCATTACCATTATTGTTACTATTATCATCAACACTACTACTACTACTACTACTATCACCACGAGTACGACGACTACCACCACAATCTCCTTCATAACAAAAGAAGAATGATGAAAAAAAAATCCGAAAAGCAAAATTCTACGACCGCGACCTTGTTCCCTATATTACCACGGCAACAGGTATGACTTGTATCTAGGGCAGGTGAGCTGCTACCTGGAGACACCTCACACCTTTCCTTAATTAACCACGAGACACAGGTGAGAGATGAAGACTTAATAAAATACCAAAATCATTATCAAAAAGGGGTAATTATTTTTAATTTAGGAATATAAGTACAGGTATAGATACAGGTATATACAGGTACAGTAATTGCTTTCAGGTGACGGTATAATCAAGGTTACAGCATGAAGTACTGTAACTACTGTATCTCTACCTGTATATTTTACCTGGAGGAAATTACTGTACCTGTAATTTACACTCAAACCTGTGCTGATACAGTATAAAGTGATTAGTAAATATCCTTGAATCACCTGTATCCTGTAACCATATACTAATGACTGTAATCTGTATTTAATATCTGAAACTACACCTGTGTGGTAATTACTAAATAACCTTGAACCATCTGTACCACCTGTATGACACTGTAACCACCTGTATAATACTGTAATTACCTAACTACCTGCATTTTGTAACAGCCTGGAAGCTACAGACATTCAGGTAATTTAAACTAGAGGCTTAACAAGGCTTTAGGATGGCCATGTGGCAGGTGGCCCTCAAGTTGGCCATGTGGCAGATGGCCCTTAGGCTGGGTCGCGGTGGGTCATTTGGGAGGACAAGTATCGAGACGAAGTTGAGCAAGTGGGGCCACCAGTCACTCTAATCTTGGTAAGTTGGCCCACCCCCTCCCTCTCTCTCCCCTCTCTTCCTCCCCTCTCATTTCTCTCTCTCCGTCCCTCACTTCTTCCTCTCCCTTCCCTTTCCATCTCCTCTCTCTCTCCCTCTCTCTCCCTCTCCCTCTCTCTCTCCCTCTCTCTCTCACTCTCTCTCTCTCTCACGACAGGTAACTTGACCACATCTCTGGTCTTCCTCACGGTATTAACAAGTCGTCTCTTGCCTAACCTAACCTCCCCCTCCCATCCCCCCCACCTACCCCCACCCCCCACCTACCCTCACCCCTCCCATCTCCACCTGTTACGGTCCAGCTGGCTATAATCACCATCTGGAGGCTACTCGTGACCCAAAACACCATTAAATAAAGGTTGTAATTCGTGTATCTTACGCCATTAAACTATATAGCGAAGGATTAGCATGACCCGTATATAGGAATGTTATTATTATTATTATTTCCTTAATGTAATTGAAAAAAAAGTGTCTCTTGCGCCATTAAATCATTGAGCTGAAAGACGACACTTGAAAATATCCTCCCCAAAGTGCCATTATAACTAAAGGTTCAAATTCGTGTCTTCTACGCCATTAAGAGTTGAAGAAATAATAATATGTTGGGAAATTTAATAGCGTAGTGTTTTATTGTTCGCTGGTATATTAGCGGAGGTTAATGGTGTGGCGTTATGGCGGAGGTTAATGGTGTGGCGTTATGGCGGAGGTTAATGGTGTGGCGTTATGGCGGAGGTTAATGGTGTGGCGTTATGGCGGAGGTTAATGGTGTGGCGTTATGGCGGAGGTTAATGGTGTGGCGTTATAGTGATAGTTCGTAGTGGCGTTATGGCGGAGGTTAATGGTGGCGTTATATGCAGGTTAATGGTGTGGCGTTATGGCGGAGGTTAATGGTGTGGCGTTATGGCGGAGGTTAATGGTGTGGCGTTATAGTGGAGGTTAATGGTGTGGCGTTATGGCGGAGGCTAATGGTGTGGCGTTATGGCGGAGGTTAATGGTGGCGTTATGGCGGAGGTTAATGGTGTGGCGTTTTGTTTTGTCTGGGCCTCTCTCTCTCTCTCCAGGTAAGAAATCGCCCACTCATTCACTCACCTCCATAAAAACTGGACCCAAAGAGCTAAGGAGATAATGAACGAGAGACTGAACGAAACACGACCCAGTAAGTTGAGAAGACAGTGAACGAGAGAATAAACGAGAGATTAAACGAGACACAACGAAATCATAACCAAAAAAATACACGAGCAAACCAACAGGTGAATCAAGGTACAAAGGTCCACACTCACAGGTGATGTAAGAAACTGTCAGGTGAGTACAGGTGAATCAAGAGGTGGCGCTGTTCTAAAGGGAGGTCAGGGAAAGTACCGGTCACTACCCAGTACTCTGCTTCTCTTACTTACCTACCACACCTACCCTACCACACCTTACCCTACCACACCTTACCCTACCACACCTTACCCTACCACACCTTACCCTAC